TTAAGCTTGACTCTTACACAGACCTTCTATGCTGCCCTTTTCTGTTCAAGAGACCACAAAGCAATTTGCATGATACAATGGCAAGTAAGTAAAACAAAAATATTGAACAGTATTTGAAGGTAGTATTTGCTCTTTTACTCTCTCATGTTGGTATCAGAAAAGCATATCGATGTTACATTAATGATATGGAATGGGACATGTTTTAAGGAGTTACATATTCACATTTTATTTGCCAGATAGCAGTGGACAACATCACTACAGCGTGTTGGCAGTAAGCCGCTCTATCAGAAGCAACAGGTTCATTTTTACACTGAATTAATCCCATTGACAAACATGACATACATTTGTTGCTGGGTTATTGTTGGTCATTGTGGATAGGTTGATTTACCATTCCGACATATTGCAAGAGTTCTGCATTTTCATTCTTAGGTCTTGTTGAGAACTTCCTAAAATAAGTGAAGACACATCTCCCTGCTAGATGCACTAATGCATCTATCTCTGGGTTCACAAAACTCTCTAAAATCTAGAGAGTTAGTGTGTGTACTAACACCACACAGCTGCTCTTTTTTAAATTTTGGACTGTCCCTCTGACCATGGACTTTCTGGGCCTCTTGCAGGCCTGTAACCTGTCTGTAGCTCTGATCAGGCTTTTCTGCAGGTTTTGGTTTCCTGGTTATGTCCACCCAGATTTTACACAGGGTTCTCTTTCACACACACAGGCATAGCTGTCGCTTTGATTTGTGGTGCTACGTATTTTGGAAGCTTCAAGGTCTTTTTCTGAGATGGTGACAAAGACAGGTTTTATCTCTATTTATTCCTTCAAAAATGCCCTGCAAGGATCCTTCCCAATTTGGCCCCTTCCTCTTCTGTCTTTGCATCTTTCTATTGGCTCTTATTTTTCTAAGGAAGCAGACATCAACAGACTGGTCTTCATGTATCATTGCTGCTGTAGCATCTCCACACTCTGCTACCCTTCCTCTGTCTTTCTTGAGGTTTGAGATTTTCTACCTCTGCAGATGCCCATTGCAAAAGGAAGCTGTAAGCTCCTTACCTCTCTTACCATTCCTCATGCAGGGAATTCTTCCCAGGACATGTTAGTAGCTTTTAAATGATAAAAGTACATGTTCAAGGACTGGACACATCTGTAGAGCACCTATGGTGTGCACAGCACAGCATTGGACAGTTACTTGCTGGGAGAGATGAGCGCTTGACAGAACATCCACAGGCATGGGAGGGTTCCTGTACAGACGGGCAATTGGTATACACGGCAGTATCTTGGAGGAGTCCCCTGGTTTCTAACTGAATGTGCATTGCACTAAACTTGCTGACACCATGCTTTTGCTCGAGGGGTCCTACAACCCAAGCAAGTGACACCATGCCAGGGAGATTTTCGGTTCTTTCTGTAGAAGAGCTTCTTGTTCCCTACACATACCTGCAGCCCGCACTATGTCCAAGTGCCCGTATCTCCCGGGCTAACCTATTACTCTGTGTCTCGGCCAGGCATCAGGGCAAATGTTTTTAAAAACAGCGCTAAACTAAACTAAACTAAGCAAGAAGTACCGAAAATAAGCGTACCAACCCCAACGGGAGGCTGCAGGAGAGTCTGCCAGGATGTGGTGTGGGGAATGTCCCCCAGGCGGCACATGGGGCCGGACTCAGTCCAAGTCCGCAGCCTCCGGACCCTTCTCGGTGCCTCAGCAGGGCTGCGCCGATCCCCCGAGCTCCCTCCGGGACCGAACGAACCTCCCTGGCCGTGCCTCCCCCGCGGACAGGCCATCCCTCACCCTTCGGCCGCGGCGTGGAGGCAGCAAGCACAAAGAGAGGTATTTTTTTGGGTTTTTTTGTGGTGTTTTTTTTGTAGGTCTTTGTTTGTTTGTTTGGGCTTATTTGGGTTTTTTGGGGTTTTTTTGTGGGTTTTTGTTTTTTGTTTGGTTTTTTTTGGGGCTTT